TATATATATATATATATATTAATGCTGCCCCCACCTTTAAAAGCCACAACTAAGAACCCAAGGACTGAAGTGTGTCACGGAGAGCGCACTTCCCCCATGCTGCAAGTGTTAGGGCCTTACTACATCTGTGGATGTGATAAGCATGTACCGTCACCACTCAAGTTGTACTACTTCTATAGATAATTTATTAAGCAGGGGACTGCAGTCTTCCTGGCCATCCACAGGGCACCTTTCACCAAATTCCAATTCATACACATTTTGAGAGAGACCAGGAAAAATACAGCAAGTAGAGTGCAATGCTAAAAAAAACCCAAACAATCCCAATGTTGCAACACCCTCACAGAGGTGCAAGCAGTATTAACAATGACTCAGTACCTTCAGTACCGTGGTGAATTAATTGCTGACTAGGATTCAAATACAGACCAGTGTAGAATTGCAGCACAAAACAAAACTAGTATTTTAAATAAGAGGTCTTACCTCTACTGTCACCTGTCAAATATTGCAGGGCAGGTAAAACCAGCTCTGACCAGTTAGGGGCAAAGGAGAACCAGCTATTTAAGGTACTGGCTGGGGATGATTGCCAATCCAAGACTTTATCCTCAAGCTGTAAATAAAAGAAGTGAATTCACAGCATCTTTCAAGCAAGCTGTAAAAGGTTTTACTATAATAAATAATAAATGGCAGAGGTAGAAATCACAAGGAAGCAGAAAAATATGAACAGCAGAGTTTTGCAGAGACACACATAGAAAGAACATATTTTAGACAGCAAAAGCTGAAAAGGGGAAGCTTTAACATCAAAATTAGTCTTAACGTGTGGAAGAAACAAGCTTATTGATAAGAGATTGACAGGAAGAAGGGTGGGAGAGAAGATCTAGAGTTAAATGGCTCAACATTTGTTTTGAATAGCATGCTCAACTTGCCTGAGATTACAAACCATTACAAACTTATGAGAGTATTCACTTAACAAGACTTATACACATGATTCTAGGGAACCACTCTGGTAATGAAATCACTGATACTCATAACTAGCAGAGAATTCCAGTTCTTGACTGGTAAACTCCAAATCTGCTACGCCTAGAAAGGTCTGTAGAAGAACAGGGAGTGAGTGGATTCTTACCACAGAGAGACTAGCAGGTCCTTCTATAAGCAGGATCTCCAGAAGGAGAGAAAAAAAGCTAGAAGAGATTTCATTTACTCCAAGGCATGGCTTGATGTCTTCAAGAGGTCTGAAAGTAAGGGAACACAACCAATATAAGTTGAACAGCCACAAATGAGAATCAACACTATATAATTACAGCAGTCTTCCCACACCATCCTTCACAGAACAGAGGCAAGCAACCTCCAGGGTATTACCTAAAAATACCATCCACACCTGGACAGGGACATAAGCTCATAATAGGACACAGCTCTGACTTCCCCAGTTGTGGTTAAATGAGCTGAGTGTGACTAAATGCTGGTTCGAAGCAACATATTCCATAGCCTTGCCAATGTACCTCAAACCTGAGCTGCAGTACCTGTCGCCATTACTATCTTGAAAAGTGCACAGGGTTATGCCAATATACCTCACCCAATTTAGTGACCCACAATACCACCTCATTTTAGCAGCTTTGCGAGTAGATTAATTAAAAATACTACTAGCTCAATTTATCAAGTGGGTTCCTCATGTTTCAGGCGTATAGTATCAGGAATTTGATGAACTTGACCACCACGGGTTTCAATGTCTGATCTTCATTCACAATTTTCAACCAAGTTGCAAAAAATCATGGAGAATTATTTCTGACAATAAAAGAGATCAGAGGGTTTTCCTTTCCATTGACAGATCTCTTTAAACAGAATGGCTTAAAAAAGGACTGATTATACACCATCTCCACTTGCTCTTACGCATGTAATGTACCACAGCCTGGACAAGTGGTGACTTTAAAAGAACCTTAATGAAGTTAATAGTGAGTGCAAGACCTTCACCCATTTCTATGTCTGTAACACACACAGAACCTTCCTTGGAACCACTTACTCTTCTTTAACAGATGGCAGAGGGGGAGGGGACAGGTCCTGAGATATTGGTGGGATTCCCTCAGCATTGCTAAGGGAGTCAGCCAAATCTTCCACCTCAGATTTAATCACCTTCAGCTTCTTTTTCTTCTTTTCTTCTTTTTCTTTCACCTTCTTCTTGAGAGTTGCAAGGTCAAACAAGGCTTTAGATAAAAGTACAAAAAAGTCAATAAGGACAAATGCAAAGTCCTGCACTTAGGAAGGAGCAATCCCGTGGACCAGTACAGGCTGGGAACCAACTGGCTAAGCAGCAGCTCCACAGAAAAGGACCAGGGGATTACAGGGGACAATATCCTGAATATGAGCCAAGTGTGCCCTTGTTGCCAAGAAGGCTAATGGCATGCTGGGCTGCATTAGTAGGAGTGCTGCCAACAGATCTAGGGAAGTGATTCTTCCTTTCTATTCAGCGCTCGTGAGGCAACATCTGGGGTACTGTGCCCATTTTTGGCCCCCACTACAGAAAGGATGGGGACAAATTGGAGGGAGTCCAGCAGAGGGCAACAAAAATGGTTAAGGGGATGGGGCACCTGACTTCTGCAGAGAGGTCAAGAGAACTGGGCTTATTAAGTCTGGAGGAGAGAAGACAGAGGGGAATTACTAGCAGTCTCCAACTCCCTGAACGGTGGTTCCAAAGACAATGGAGCTAGAACTTATTGTCCTCAGTGGTGGCAGATGACAAAACAAAGAACAATGCTCCCAAGTTGCAAGAAGGGAAAGTTAGGTTAGATATTACGAAAAGCTCTCAGGAGGAGGATAGTACAACACTGGAACAGGTTACCCAGAGAGGCTGTGGACTCTCCATCCTTGGAGGTTTTTAAGACTTGGCAACAAACACAGTGGTTTATGTGATTCTCTGAATTAGTAAGGATCCCATGGAATATCCTGTTTCTTAATTTATTGCAGTTGACTAGAAAAAGACTTTTTGGTCAGAAAATGGGATATTTAAAAATAGATGCTATACCAGATTGGATTGGCTGACATATTTACTTAGACTCATACTGCTTTGATCTTCAGCCTTTTACAAAGGGATGGTATATGGCACCTACATTACATTACAGTAATTCGCTAGCCTCCCAGATATTTGTTAACTTAAGATTATTTCCAAGAAGAAAATTATTTCAGACCCAGATCAATAGTTACGTTGATTTTTGCTCAAGTTTTAAAGTGCTTACTCTTGCAGCTTCTTCAGTTGTGATATAAGGTGACAGACAACCATTCTCTTCTTCCCTAGAGAACTACAGCTACAAACAGCCCCAGGGGCACACTTCCCACAACAATACTACACCTAAAACACGCACCTGCCAGGGAACCCTTCCTGCCAGCATTCACATGGGTCATGATGTCATCAAGAGTCAGGTCTCCTGTCATTAGATCAGGGTGGTCCTAAAAAGGAAATAGGGAAAAATAAACAGACGTAGGAGATAAAAAGCAGTGCTAGGATACAGAAGGTGCTACAGAAGTCAGAGCCTGAAATTCCTAAAATCTATCTATGATTTTCCTCCAAAACTCAATTTACTGCAGATAAACTATGCAAAAACTTAACTCTAGAAGTCTAGAATCAGCATTTAGTTTTTTCATAACATAAGACTACTGAGTTCCAGAAGATTTATGCAAGAACCAAAAGAGACAAAAAGTAACTATCCCATTTGCTGTTAACTGTGGGGCACAATAAAGATTAAAACATGTGCCATAAAAAATGACAGTCACTCTGCCAGCCGAAGCTGCCAGCTGACAGACGGTCTAAACACAACACAGGTAAATCCCCAACCCTAAGCTCCCGAGGGTCTTACAGGATGACGTTTCCGTTTCTCATGATGCTTCTTCAACATCATCTTCAGGTCACTCTCCCCGAGTTCTATTTTATCTGTGATGAAAAATTCAAAGACTATTACTACTAGCATTCCTTGTCAATCCATTATTACAGTAAACTAAAAAGCTTTTTTTTATCCATCCACATCTTCCATAATCCTCAGACTGCAAGAGTTCAACTCTCCTCAAAAGCTTCAAGATTCAAGCTGTGACCCACACCAGATCAAGTAGGGAACACTGAATACACTTTCTTCTATGAGCCATCTAACTTTACTTGGTTGCATGTGTACAGGTTGCCGGCCTTGGCCATTTTCAAGGGGCCTAGGCCAAGCTGCAGAAATGTTGCCAAGCAGAAGGCCCCAAAAGCCTGTTTCTGTGTGACCCTAGTGTGAACCTTTGCAGATGTGACAAAAGCTTGGTCAGCAAAATAAAGGAGGCCAAACACAAAAAAGTACAAGGCCTGAAAGGAGATAAGGGAAGACCATACGTTAAATAATCCATATATACAATATCAGAGCTTTATCTTAAAATATTAAACACTAGTGATTGATGTAACCAAATATATTGTTATTCTGCTATAATAGATATATTTTAGTTAAAATGCTTAGATAATTTGTAAAAACAAAAAAAGCCTTGTCAGAGAAGACCATAAACTAAGGTAAAGAAGAACCAGACCAGAGTTGAGCAGCACTCCACAGTGAGGAAGGGAAGGTGATAAGAAACCCTCCCTCTGTCTTTCCCAAGAATATAAATCCTAACTGACACCTTCTAAGTCCACAAAAGATCTGGCTTAGTCCTGTTCCAAAAGTTTCAGTGAAACAAAGACATTTAAATAAAACCAATCAGAGATCATTTATTAGAATCAACCATCTATAACTATTGGGCATAGGCTGGAGGAAAATTTGGAGAACGCAGCAAGTTCAAGACAACCTGCTGCTTATCTGCGTGCCACCCACCCCGTGCTTTCCATGTTTCCCCAGCTGGTATAGGTGAGAATCTACGTTGTACTGTCATGGGTAACCAGACAGACTTTGGGATAAATGTTTTTTTATGTTCTAAAGCGCAAGTAAAAGGTTGGGCTGTAAATCTGTTTCTGCCTCTCATCAGTAACCTACCCACAAGGTTACCTCTAATCTGGGTAACAGGGTGAAAGAGGAGTCTGCAGATTGGATAGCTGGAGGATGACCTCCTACAATAGTAATAACATTCAACCTCCATTATGCATTGACCATTAAAGTAAAAAAATAAAGGTAGTACAATTAGGTTTTTTTGTTTTGTTTTAGGAGTTTTTTTACCACCAAAAAGAGGAGAAAGAGAACTTTGTGTTAAAAGAGTAATTTTCCACAACAAAATACCGGCCTTTAAAGAAAGAAGAGCTAGATATCTCATGAATTAGGAAAGTAATCATTACAAAACTTCACATCCATTACATGACTGACAATGCTTGACTCTTTAGAAGGTCTACAATGAACCCACACCTGCAGGAGCTGCTGCAGGCAGCCCCACATCCTAGCTCAGTTCTCACCTGATGTTTTCATGTCTTGCGTTGATAACGTGGGGGTCATTCTGAGTGGAACTGCTGGACTTGGGCAACGGGCTGGGGAATTTGGAAGCCAGGAACTCAGATCTGATAGAAGAAAAAAAAGTTAAATTCAACCCCATTTCACTCTGTTCTCCAGAACTAGACAGAACTAAGCCAAAAGAACATGACTCATTTCTCTGAAAAACAAGAAATGTGATTCATTACATCTCAACACAATTAAGTGCATGAGGATCAGCTTCTGCAAGCTTCTCTACCTATGCTCACAGAAACTGTCAATTTTATGTGGAAGTCCAGGTGATAATCTTTGTGATATAATTACCTGAAGACTATAATAACCTACCAGTGGAAAACTCTATTTTCATTTTTGTGACTTCTCTGAACCATTCACTCTGCCCCAAAGAGCAGGTTATCAGAAGGGTCTTATAACAGACATTTTGATTCAAGGAAGTTAGATGCCAAGAGAAACCCAGAAAGGCACTCTTTCTTGGTTTGGTCTCTAAGTAAGGGAAGTTTTCAACTACTTGCACAAAATGTTCTAGCACGCCCACAGCCCAATCTGTCACACTAGTCCTAGAACACAATGAACATTACCTTCTTCATCAGAGGATAAAGTAGCATCTCCACACTCCTCCTTTATCTCCCTCAAAACCTTTAAGTAGCGCCGATGTGTCCGTCTATCCCGTTCTTCTGGGCCACGTGCAGGTGCTGGATGCTTCTTCTTAAGGGTCATATCAGGCCCTCCTTTCCTAGCCAGGTCCAGCAAATACTGAAAGAAGACAGATACACCACTGGAAGACTATGGATACAGAACCCAATTCTGTAGGGAATGTAACTAACTTACATTCAAACCACACTACCCATTTAGTTTGACAAAGAAGTAAATGTTCAACATCCATGTGAAATTATTAGGATCTGCCCTAATTCTTTAGATGCTGAACCTTACTGTGGACAAACCCTGAGCATACAGACAGCTCTAAGAAGCAGGCCAGCAGTTAATAAGAGGCAGTCAAATAACTGATTTGTATTCTTCATTCCCCCATTTCCACTATCCCTTATTCTCACTCCAAATGATCCACTTTATCAAGAACTGCCTACTCATTGTCCCGAAACACAACCGAGAACATGGACTCCAAATACCAGTTTTACATAAAAGATATGGGGACAAAAATGGGCCTCCAGAGAAAAATGACACTGGTTTAGGCATTAGAATAAAAAAGTGCTACACACAAACCCTACCTTCCAACTCCTATTTCACTCCCTCATGAATAGTATAAAGGTCAAGATCATCCTTTCTGTAAGTGGAGAGCCTCATTCTCCCTGGCTCTCCAGCTGTAACTGCAGTGACTTTCAAGGCATGTAGCCCAGTAATTCACTACTTTCAGCCCCTTTCCTCCCCTGTGATTCTGGGCCTGAGGGAGTAGTGCAAAAGTAGCCACAAGGTATTCTGCCTGGCCTTGACCCTCCATCACAGCTGTTTACATCACCTGGCACAGCAGAGACTGAAGAGATGCCAACTGATCCTAACCAGCTTCAGGTCCATCTGCCCCACACCCACCGACTGCTGGGGTCACAGGATGGAGTGGGCAGGGTCACCATGAAAACCAGGCTGGGACCCCTGTGGGTAGAGAATGCTTAGCTGGACAGGTAGGAAGGGGCCATGGGTAGGCAGGCAGTGGCATCCAGGAGGCACAGGTGGGTGGCGCTAGGTAGTAACAGCATGGGGCTGGGGTCCAGGCCCAGGGCAGAGCTGCGATCTGCTCCCTGCACATCCCCCCTTTGACAGGTACCTGCAAATCCTAGCCCTGGCCTCTCCCGTCTGCCCTGCTCCTAGACATTGCTGCCCACCTGCCCGAGGCCCTAGCCCATTTGCCTGGCCAAGCGTGCCCTGCCGATGAGGGTCCTGGGCCAGTCTCCATGGAAACCCCACCTGCCTGCCTGCCCACTCCATCTGGCACCATTGGCAGTGGGTGCAGGGCAGATGGGCCAGGGTGCCAGCACACAGCAGCAGCCAAAAGGAGCCACTGCAGGCCAGATGGAATCACTTGGTGGGCTGGATCCAGCCTTCAGGCTGTATTTTGCCTGCCTCTTGCAGAGATCAAAGGAAGGAGCCTCTCATATAGCAGTGTATGAATGGACCTTTCAGAAGTCCAGACCTGCACTGTATCCAGCAGCCAGAAACATTCTGCACTCCTAGCTCAACACTTTTACTGCATGTCAAACATCACATAAACTCTGCCTTCTAAGGCAGCTTCTCTAAGAAACAGAGAAGCTTTATCAGCCCCTGAAATTACTTGATATCCTAAGATTAAAAGCTCAGGACTCACATAATTAAGAGCTGTGCAAGAAGGGGTAGCTAAAAGCAACAGCATGTGTGAAGGCCCAATTACAAATAAATGGCTTATTTGGAAACCAGGCCCTCTTCTTTCACCTACTGCAAGCCTAGTATATGAGCTTGACTGCATATCCTGCTACAGCAGGGGTGGGCAAAATGTGGCCTGGGGGCCAGACGTGGCCCACCAGGACATTCTATCCGGCCTGTGGAGCCCCTAAAAATTTATCTGTCCCTGGCTGCCTATCATGCAGCCCTCGATGGCTTGCCAAAACTCAGTAAGCGGCCCTTCGCCCAAAATAATTGCCTGCCCCTGCGCTACCGGGTAAATCACCTGTAATATCCAAAAGCTATTAGATTTTCTTATTATGTTTACCACAAGCTGCAGGAAAAACTGAGAACCTTGGACTCAACCTTAACATAAGAAAAGCTTTCTAGTTAGTCTTTAACTATGTGACCAGCCAACTTTGCAAGCTAAGTTTAGGTAGGCAATACTGCTATATTAAAGAAGGTTAGCAGATAAACACAACCTATGTTCTTTGCATTCCAAATTCAATGTCTTTAAAAGCCAAAATACCACAATTAAAATGAAAGGAGAAAGGACTAACAGTTACATCAGAACAAAGTCAGTACTAATGGTTCATTAGTACAGGAAAACCATCAGCACAGAAAGTCAGGAAAATGATTCTATTCCAGTTTTGCTGCTTTCCATCTGATGCTGCAGAAATCTGGCAAACTGATGGTCAACTAGCTGTAAAACAGTACAGTGTAAGAGTACTGAATTAATGGGAAGGTGGGGAGGAAAGAGAGGGCAAAACTGCTTATAGTTTGTAAACAAAATCCTGAGGGGTAAGTGTGTAAGAGATATATGGTTAGTTTCAGAATAAGATACTCAATACCTGTGAAACTGTCCAAAATCCTTTCAGTAAAAGATTGAAAATAAGAACTGCAGTATTCTTTTTTAAAACCAGCTGAAAAACCAGCTAGACAAGCCCATACTGAATCCTTTAATCTCAGACAAACATACCCGCTTATCCTGTTCTTCATATAACGCATCAAGCTTATCACCGCACCCTGCAGGCACTTACGTTGCGGGAGGCAAGGATCTGCTTGAGCAACCGGTAGAAGTACTGCTGCTGGGAGCTCAGGTAGCGCTTGTATTGGGACTTGAAACAGAGTTGCCTGTATTTCACAACTTCAGGATTAAAATGTCCATCTGCAGAAAAGAATAAATGCTCAGATGCGAGTGAAGAAGAGGGTTTTTTTAAAAGCAAAAATTAAAATGTTGTGATATATTTTTGCTTCCTAACTAATCCAGATACTATGGTAGCTCTTGCCAAACTGAGGAACGAATTACAGTATTAAAGAGTAGATTTCTCAGGAGTGGTAATCAGATATGCAGCCTCACTGTTCTAGGTCAGCAAATCAAGGATTTGTTGCTATGATACAGCATCCTCTGAGAAATAAGTTGAGGTCTCAACAGAGTGGCATAAAAATCACAGAAACAGAACAATTGCCACTGACTGAACTCCTTTCTGACTGTCTTAGAAAAGAGGTCAAAGACCAAAGTTTCATCTTTTCCTGCATGAGTCCTACTTAAATGTGAAGAATGCTGCAAAGCAGCATGTGGGGCTGTCCATTCTGTACCAAATGCGCAGATGAAGAGCGCTTCAGGCAGTTGATTTTCACCCTGGAAGCCTACACCAGCAATACATCCAATTAAAAACAAAGTTAAAAGTCGGCTGACCGCTGACCCCGGAAGAGTTTCTGCGCAATGTGCAATGGATTTCCAAAGCGGAAGTTCTCTCCACTGAAAAGGGATGAGATGAGTTTGTTCTGGTGTTCAGCATTATTTTCAGGGAAATGAGGCAGGAACTTTTTCAGGTGGTCGCGCTGTGAATCTGTAAGCACCTCCTGCCATGTAGATAAGCTGACAACTTCAAAAAAGATCTCAGGCTAAAAAAACAAAACAAAACAAAACAAAAACGAAACATAAATGAAGCAGAATGCCTCCGAGCATCCTTAACAAATGTGAATCCCTCAAGGCATTTTAACTACAGTTAAAGATGACAAGACAACAGGCATAGGATGTGGAAAGTAGTAGGAATAAAGACACTAAAAGGTGAGCAAATTAAATGATTTCAGTCATGAGGCCATGAGACAGAGAAAAATCAGTTATTACACAAAGAGCAGTTTCAAGGGTAGATTTGTAAAGGGAACAAGTTATTAAGTTGATTTACACAAAGAGCAAACTAAAAAATAAGTCGTTTGCTAAAAAACACCCTTTTTCAATAGGGAATACAATACCCAAAAATATTATCACTTCTTTACTCCTTACTGTTTCACAGAGATAAAGTAAAAGTATTTATTTATTTTCCAAGGGTGTTGAGAACATTATTTGTCAAGGACTTCGGAAGTAAACAGTGCTCTTAGTACCACTCACATCCTCTAAAAGGTCCTCCGGCAGGCTAACTCTTGTTGCACCCAGCATACAGTCCTCCATGATTCGTGCACCATTTCCTTCCCCACATGGTCCTAGCTCCAAAGGGTCTGTCAGCATATGATCCAGAGAATCCATTCTTCACTCTTCTTTATGACCCTGAATGAAACAAAACAAAACAAAACAAAACAAACAAACATCACACAACCACCCCATCTATTGCCATCATCTAATCTAACAATGAAGCCCACACATCTCTGATGCAACTGATGCTGAATTATTCTTTTAGAACATGCATTTAACAAAATGGGTACATAAAACTGGGTAGTCAACCAATTATACTGAATGGGTAATTGTGCTCCGCCAATGCACTAGCAGTGGTAAATTCAACAATACACAAAAAATACAGGAAGCTACCACTTTCAGTTGAGATGTGCAAGTGCCCAGACCTGAGGTGTACATGAAGAATCTCAGGGAAACAGAAACGGACACTAGCTGATTAATACTGATAGCTCTAAAATGTTCTTACTTATATCACTTCCACGTTACATCATTTTCATTTTTAATGTAGCTTGTATTTTGTTGTCATTAAACTCTAGTAATAAGACTGGGCTGGTGAATGTCAGTTTGATTTCAGCAATGCAATACTAGAATGAAATACAGCTGAGGAATGTTTAAATCCAAATTAAAAACATGTTCTCATACAGAAAGTAGTATGCGGGTTTGAATTCAAAAGTCTTTTACGTTAAATTCACTCTGACAATATGACTCATGCTTAAAGTCTCACAACACTTCCAACAGGATTTCTAAACAATTGCCTAGACAAAAATCGGTTTTATTTATTTATCAAGAGAGTAAAACTTGCAGGCAATGCAAACCAAAAAGGGCAAAAACTTCCCAGGAATGGGGCTTCAAAGAGTAAACATATAAAAAACATCCTGGAAATAAACAGTATTTCCCATTACGCGTCATAGACTATACTTCAAGCTACAGATCTGCTAGGATGAGCAAGTCTGACAATAAATACCAGGTTTTCTAAAATTTCTAAACCTGGCGACAGTAAATAAAACTTCCTATACTACGCGTGTACATACAACCAGACATGCACATGGATGCACATAAAACCAGACACTCGCACACATAACCGGACACGTGTGTACACACAAACATGCGGCTGGGCTGCTGGGCCGCAGGACAAAGTCCAACCAATGATGCCTTGGGCTCAATGCAGCCCCTGTGCTTCCCTGGGGAGCTGGAGTTCAGGCTGCAGTGCAGTCCACCGAGGCCCCAGCCCAGGGCCCACCCATCAACTAGCTGCAGGGACAGTGCTAGAGGAGACTTGGGGGGGGGGCTATAGCCACTTTCCGACCTCCCCCATAGCCACTGCTCTCAGCAGTGTTGCTGGTGCCAGCCCCCTAAAGCTGAGCCTGCAAAGGTGCAGCGCTCCTTGGTGGGTGGGCTGGGCTCAGAAGTGGGGCAGGCAGCAGCAGCCCGGGAGGTAATGGAGAGGTGGATACGGGGAGGGGGACTAAGGTGAATTTTGCGGTGGCCACAGCCCCCTCTTAGGGCCATCCCTGTGGGCTCCAGACCCCAGCTAGGTTTTGTGTCAGTTTCTGCTGTGTGCACCCCTCTAGGCAGAAAGTAGAGGAGGGGCCCAAGGCAGAGCAACCCTAGGCCCCTTCCCTGCCATCCACCCTGAGGTGCCGGGGCTCGGGACTCTGGGATCAGCTCTGTGCTGGCAGTGACTACAACACATGCCTCAGGGCACAAGGCGGGACAGCGCAGCCGTGGCCCCTCCACCGCCATCTACCAGGAGGCATGCATGCGCGTGGCCAAGCCAGCTGGGAGCAGTCCTGCACAACCCCTGCCTGAGCCCCAGCCCCTGGAGGGGAGCTGAGGGTGGGCAAGGCTGGGGCCCAGGTAGGCTGGGGCAGCCACAGCAGCTGTTCCTGGGGTCCAGAAGGTTTCCCACAGCTAGGCCCTTGTACCAGGGGCGGCTCAGCCCCACTCACAGTGTACATGGCACGCAGGGAGGCCGAGCCCAGAGTCGGGAGCCCCCCAGACCCAGCATCCTGCTCTGGCCAGACAGCATCCCCTCCTGGGCAAGCTGGCTGCAGCCCATCCCCATGGAGCTGTGCAGGCCAGACCGGGCCCCACCTCAGGTGCTGTTGGGTGCCCCTGCCTGCCAGCCCACTGTGGCCAGAGGCTGCAGAGCCCCAGGGCAGCCACACTTCCCGCCCAGGCCTTGCCTTCCCAAGGGGCCAGCAGAGCTGACCTACCTGCAGCGCCTCCCCCTGCACCTACTTCTCCCCACGCCGCCCAGACCCTGCCCCGAGTGCCTGGCCCTGAGACCCAGGTGCTGCCCCTGCCCAGGTGGGACTCCCACAGCTACCCCCGGAGACCAGGCTGGGCTGGAGGGCGCAGCCCGGGGCCACAGACAGCAGTCTTAAGAGAGCCTGGAGCAGCAACTTAAACATGTGTGTTTTAAAACAATTTCCTTGCGTGCCTCCTGGCATGCCAGGGAAAATGTCTCCACGTGCCACTAATGACATGTGTGCCATGGGTTGCCAATCCCCAACCCACGGGGCTGCGTCTACACTTGAGACTATGACACGCTGTCTACATACAGCCAGCTGCTAAGCAGCGCCGGGCCTGCCTATGAGGGGCTGCACGTGGGACCGCGGCCCAAGTCTTAACATGGGAATCGACCAAAATTAATTAATCTCTCACACGTTTACTGAAAAACGGCTACACTGATCTCACCTCACCCACAATGTAGCAGGGGTTGATCCAGCATCTTTCAGTTGAAAAGCACCCCTTAGAAACAAAGTGGATTCGGAGCAGGGAGTCAATACCTTTGGCAGGAAACACGGCCCCTGTCATCAGACGCTGACAGCATTAAAAGCCAGGAGCGAGGGCCAGCACCACGGCGGGCTCAGACTGACTGCCCCTGCAAGCAAGCACGAGACGTTGGACCTGGATACACAACAACAGGAGGGAAGAGGTGAAAGGCAGCTACAGACTCCTCTCTCTGTCTCTCAACTGAACTGTGACCCCATGGAGATTTCCGGTCCTATAACGATACTGCTGTGAGCCCGGTTCACGCAGACCCCGAGTTTCAGCTGGGTGGGGGGGCAGCACTTGTCCCAGTGCAGAGGAGCTAAGGGACGTGCCTGGGGTCCGGCAAGAAGTCGGTATCAGAGGAGAACTCCCCCAGCCCAAATGATCGTTCAGGGGCGGGTGCCCCATGAGGGCCCGGCCCGGCCCGGCCCGGCGCCCCGTATTGGGCTCGGGGCAGGCCCAGGGCTCGGTCAGTGCCAGATCCTCCCCCAACACGGGGCCGCTCCACAGCCCGGTCCCCCCCCTCACCGCTCCGCGCGCCAGGTCCAGGCCGCGACAGCTCCTTCCGCTTCCCCGGGGAGGGGGCACAGCGCATGCGCATCCCGACGGCCTGCGAGCCTCCCTGCGCATGCGCCCTCCCCCCCGAGAGGCGAGAGTGTGCACAGCCCATCACGCATGCGCAGTGCAGTGCGGGCGGGGTCGCGACTCCGGCGCTTGACACCGGGTGGAGCGGGTTGGGCGGGTGCGGTCAGTGTCCTATTGATGCAATAATTTTTTTGACCCCTCGTGCGACATACGATCAAAAACAGTATAAAAAAAAAAAAGTGTTCAAAATGCAGAAAAGGACCATTTTTCTTGCGATTTCCCAGTGGGTCTAATAAAAGGCATCGTTTTGGAACCGAGAGTTCTAGTTTTTTTGTATCCCAAAATGTAGGATGGGTTTTTGATCGTCTAAGAACAGAAGCAGGCGAGGCTCTTTTGAGATGCGATCTCTTTTATTAGACTAACTCAGTAGTTGGAAAAAAATAACTTTTTTCCTCCAGCTCCTGAGTTGCTCTAATAAAAAAGATCGCATCTACTCAAAACAGCCTGGCCTGCAAAATGTAGGGCAAGGTTTGAGGCCACTAGTTGCAGCAAACGCAAAGCCCAGCTCAGTCTCCAGGAGTCATCACTGACTTCCCGGCTTGCTGTCAGGACTTCCTTGCCCTGAAATAAATGCTTCAATTTGATGACCTGGTTCTCCCTCATTCACTGGCAAATTACGCTGTGCAATACAAAGTAAAACAGAAGACTTATACTTATTTGCACATATTTTTCAGGGTACAATAGTTTTTCAGCAAATATGATGATTTTGAGCATCCAATATACGATAATGTCATATTTAATTTCCATAGTGCTAGGACACTTTCTTAAAGGGAAAACATTATTGTCAGATAGCACAAAACTCAAGGATGGGTATTTGGGCAAAAAATGCACCACAAAATATCAAGCAGGGCATTAAAGAGCCCATGGGGTTGTTGGTGCAGACGTCCTTCTCTCCAAGCGTTTCCAGCATCTCTTACCAAATCAGCCCCCCCAACCTGCCTCACAGCTACAGTGTATCCTGAGGTGCCAAACTCACATGGGCTCCTCCTGGGCCAAGAGCTGCCACCGGCCCAGCAACAGCGCGGGAGCCCACAGCCAAGGCAGGGAGCAGGAGAGCAGGATCTGGCCATACAGTGCCCTCCGGCAGCCCAGCAAGCCATACATTAAGCAGCCCTGATCTCTCCAGTTCTGGAGAAGCCTCACTCACGTCTTCGGCGTCTCGCTGACACGGAGTGCGGACAGCAGCGCTGCGTGCTTCCCTCTGCCACCTTAGTCCATGCGTCTGAACTCTACCCTGGGTCAAGAATGATTTGGGAAGGAAAGGAGCATAATAAGGCTCCTTGACCCATTCAAGGTGAAGCCTTTGCTGAGACTTCTAACGAATCCCCTACTTTTTTTTTTCTTGTGCTGTGGACATCTGGACTGAAACCCATGCTCACAAAGCCTACCAGTCATCTTGTAGTGTCTACTTATAGTCACACGACTGACTCTGGGATAGATTTGATCTGCTTATATTTTATCCTGGGTAGCCACCACAATGTGTGTGAGGCATTGGAGACTCAGGAAAAGCCTGGTCCCTTCCCCAGGATGTGGAGACAAAAAGTTTTAATGAAACAATGATTACATATACGTGGCAGTACAGATGACCTCACCTTCCTGAATGCACAGGTCATGTTTGGTATGTAAAAAAAGAAAAGATTTATTATTTTTGTTTTTACACCTGCCAGGTAGCACAAGACTATTAATACTATAACAGTCACTGAATGTACAATAAACATACACATTTAAATAACAGGGTCAGAATGATGCAACGTATGTCAGGTTCAATGTCTCATGAAACATCCAGATTTAGTCCCAGGTGTTCTAGTAATCCTTTGAAAAAAATCAGGTATGATTCTTTTGGAGAGTAAGGGATTGGTGCCGACTTTTGCACTCGGGAGGCATGAGCACAGGGACTCCCAATGAAGCCAAAGAGGACTCCCTTAGCATATTCTTAGGGCGGAATTTAGCTCGCAGTGAGCAAAAGAAGTGTATTCCAGAATTAAGCTCCGATGGAACATTATTTAGGGGACAAAGAGACCTTTGGGCTGGTTCAGCAAAAATTCCTGTGTCTTGCACTGAGGAAGTCCATGAAAGCTGTTTCTCGTTTAAGGGGGTCCTGCAGTACTGACATGCTGTAGGATTTCTAAGCTGCAAAACTGGGCCCTGTCTTCTGTTCTTTCTCCACATCTGTGTAATCATTATAATCAGACAACTCATTAACTTGGAATGAATATGCATGATGCTTAATTCTCAGGGAAGAGCATCCTCTCATGCATCCATTAATTTGGGACATGAAGTGAACCAGCACACTGATCTCTGGCTGGTGATTTTGTGTACGATGCTGCTGTGGAAAAAAACGACAGACTCCTGGATAAGCAAGATGCACATTCAAAGAGGCCATTTTGAAACTGCTTTCCATAACACTGGGCTTGTGTTCATCCTGAAAGAACTGGTACAAAAACAAGTGTCCACATTTTTTGATACTTTCTAAACAAAGTCAAAGAAAAAAAAATAGTTTTTTAAACTCTACATTTACAACAATTTAAAGGAAAAAGGGTTCAATTTTCAGATATGAAAACTGAGCCTTTTAAGACTTTAAAATACTTCCATAAAACAGTAACTACTTGCCACATGACATTTCCATATTTTCCACTTCCCTTCATTTGTAGCATATATTTGGCTCTTTGAATTTTTATGACAGTGTCACTACATCATCTGGCAGTCTGAGGAACGCCTCCTCTCTTGAACAAGAAACTGAGAGGCAAAACAGGGCAGTGAACTTCCCCTCCCACACAAACAACAGAACCAAGGGCCCAATTTCAAAAGTGCTCAGCATCCACAACTCTGGATGAAATTAATGGGAACTGCAGTAGATTAGCACCACTGCAAGAAAAGGCCTGACTCAAATCCACTACATAAAAAGAAAGACACTCAATTAATTTCAATGCATTGTGTGTGGATCAGGACCCAGGCCCTTAATATCTCTGAAGAGGCTTTTTAATGCCCCAGCATTTTGGGATGATAAAAGAAGCGAGATCCCAGGCACAAATTTAATCTACATTTTGGCAAATCACTTCAAGGCTACCCCAAAGCAATGCTGAGCTGTTACCATATTTTGACAGGGCTTGTTTCATTATGCCCAGTAATGATTTCCACTCTGTATTAACGTGATATGTGGCATGAGGCCTTGCCAGCAAGTAAGCTTTCCAGTCCTCCGGTTATGGTGTTACCTCATGACTTCAGCTTGTTCTCTTACGTTTAAATGTTAGCTTCATAGGGCTTGGTACTGCAACTTCTGTGCGTATTGGAGTCCTCACTTGCATAAGTAATCCCATCAAAATCGGTGGGAATACCGATGGAAGGAAGGGTTGCATATTCAGACTCAGCGCAGCACTGGAAAAGAATTATTCAACCTACTGATGTCTCTGATGTCATGAAATGCTGTTGCAACCAAATCTTACATTTTCTGGAATAAATTTATCCTATTATACTGGCATTTTGGGATGGCTTTTGAGGCAGAATTTCTAGAGGTTTAGGCATATACAGTATCTCCCCCATCAACAGTACTTGGAGCTGTGGTCATATTCTCCCAGGTAACAAAGTGAAAACGGTCCCCTTCCATTTGGTTTAAAGACAAAAACACACCCCCAACCAACCAGACCCTTGAAGAGGAGCAACTTAAGGAAAAACAAACTGCCTTAAAGGTAGAGCTTCCCTTTCTCCTGGTCCCAAAGCGTGACACAAGTTCTGTACACAGACTAGGTTTACGAACACAGGCAATCCTTTGGGATGGCTTTCATTGGCCTTTTAATAGTGGTCCACTAGTGTTCTTTTTTGCATTTCCTGAGTCCAAGGCTGGTCATTTTATGAAACAGTCCATAGGAATTACAGTGCATCGTTAACAAGATCCATGGAAAATGTGAGTAATCAACTTTCCATCCAACCTTCATGGGGAAAAAATACACACATTTTGAGGCAGCATTAGAGATAGCTACCTCAGTGTCTGCAAAGCGGTGTGCATAGGGAGAGGAGGTTAGAGAGGTTCTCTTCCAATGTTTCAGGTTAAAGTATGTCTCAAACAGCAACTGCAAGGCACTGATTTTTGAGTGCCTTCTTACTTTAAAATGATCAAATCAGGGTAAAAACATCCACTTGTTTCCCCTCTGTCCATTCTCTCCTGATACAACCATCATCAGAGGACATGGCAAAAGCTGCTGTGCATGTTAAAACATTACTGAGCCTTTCACTTGTTTACAGGTGAAAGAAGAGTTCCCAGTTAGTGTAGGGGGAACACAGCATAGGCTCAGTGTTTACCATCATGTGCTACTATGATTTCAACCCATTCATCCAAGTGTTGAGGTTTCAAGACTATACCTTTCATTCTCCCTAGAACTGCTTGGCAGGGCAAGGCAGACAATATGTAAACAGTTCTAAAGGGCTGCAAAAATAATAATTTAATTGACTGTTTCTGCACAGCTTCACAGCTTCATTGTTATGTCTGTCCCACACACACACACACAAAGAGTCTTTGTTTTGCTGCTGCTCCATCTTCCTAAGTGATCTGCTTCTTACCAAGCTGGTAAGTGCCCTTCCTTCTTGGCCATTTAAAAAGCAAAGACAGAGGGAGCAGTTCCAACATACAGCTAACAACACAGGCAGTTTAAATTATGCTGTTTTGTTTAACTGTTGATGTTAAAAATATACACAGAGCATAAATCGCCATTTAGCCATTTGTTTGACAAGTCATCTCCTCTACTGTTACACTAAATGTTGTACACTGTAAATACTTCCACAAAGGAAAATAAGGGTCATCAGACATGCCAAAAAAGTAGAGCAAGCATAGTTTCCATTTCCTGACTTCTCTTGTCTATTAAAGAGCTGCATAAAATGGCGGCACCCCACAACGATTTTAAGGGTACCTTTTAAATTGTCGCTGAGACTTTGGACCCCCTTAAAGCATTAGCAAGAACTCCAAGATGTTAGCTGAAGTGAACGAATACTTGAAAACATAATGAGCTCCAGGAGACCCAGGGGAGGTTTTTTTTTTGGAGAGTGGCTGTCCTTATGGTCAGGTGACACTGAAGGATTTCTTCACTCATGTTCTGCTGGAAAAGTTCTTGGTTTTGTGATGTGCACTTCACTGCCTCCGTTTCCATTGGTGGTCGTAGTGATGATGTATTGGGTCGTTTGCTGCTGATTGGTTGCTTGTGCTTCCAAGGGATCTGAGTGGGCTGGTGGCTGAGACACGCCCACCTGAACCCCACTGGAGAGCGAAGAGTTCTGTTTTACATCCAAATCGGTTTGTCCTTCAGATATCACATAATGAGTCTGCAGGGTAAAGCAAAATTACACAAATGTTTCATACTAGCTGAAAACCCATCTTTCTCTAAAATTTATTATATATTATCTGCTGGGAGATATTTTGGCATGAATGAAAGCTCTAACTGTATCATGTTTAAACAACTATGGAAACAAGCACAACACAAATAAGATACTTTCAATTTGTCATAATGTATGCTGGACTCCCTTACAGAGGGTTAATCTACCATAGGCCAAAACCAGTGTAATTAACACATCTCCTAGAAATTAAAATTAAATAACTGGATTTACCTCACAGCCATTGTGAAAGTCTCTTATTCTACCTTGCACTTAAGTCAAACTTGCATCTTCTGTGTTCTACTTTCCATGAATATGTTGGCTCTCTTGCAAGGTACTTTCAGTACACTGGAAGCTTCCACTGAGAGGTCATTCAGACCATTCAGTTATGCAGAAATTGAAACCACAAAAGGCATCCAACAATACTGTTTTGAAAATTAAATTCAAGTATATTGCCTAAATTTATAACTAAAATTGATAATAATTTGAGCTTTGATCTTTCAAATATTTATCCAAGTGGATAGTCTCTGTATTCAGCGCAATGAACTCAATGGCTAGAAACAGATGTTGCATTTGTTCCTGGAAAAGTTGTGCCTCTTTATCCCAGAACAAAACCAACCCAGGATTTGCGTATACAAACATTGCCCTTCTAGTCAGGGTTCAGTGAGCAGCTGAATGCACTGCCACTTTTCTACCATTGATTCAATAATGCAGTCCTGAGATAATTGTTCAGATACACTTTGCAATGCCCTGGGATAAACTGTTAGTACTTCTAACATTTTTAGGATTTATTCTGGGACAACAGATGTGGACATCTAAACAGCTGAACTTTGTCCCAGGACAAAATGATTTATTTCAGGACAAACATGACATCTGTAGCCAGCTCCTCAAAGGTGTGTGTGTGTGTGTGTGGGTGTGTGTGTGTGTGTGTGTGTGTGTGTGTGTGGGTGCCTGTGGTACCTATGCTTGGGGTGCTTGGTAACTAAAGAGCAAGTGGCAGAGATTAGGGAAAAAGGCAGTGGGGGCAAGGCAATAGCAGTGGCAGAGATCAGGGGAAAAGGCAGCGGGGATAAGGCAATAGCAAAGAAACAGGGGTTTGCAGGCAGAGAGGAGCTCAGGACACTGGTGCCAC